CAATATGGTTCACTTATTACTTATTACAGTTGCATTTTCCAAATGTTTTGAAAGCCCAGCTTTCCCAAAGGTAAATTAGCATAACTAATGTATTTACTCCAAACTGACAAAATGAAAGTTAATTGGCGAAAAGACTGTTAATTCTTCCTATGGTACTGAAAAGCCAATTTGAATTTTTTACATCAGCATATAAGGCCCTGGCCTCCTCACCAAGGCAAATATATAACTTCTATTTGAAATTAACTGCATTTGTAACATATTGAACCATCCCCAAACAATGCTGTAAGTTACTGACCCCATGTAGGGTGCTCGGTCTCCTGTAGTTCTAATCTGAGAAACAAACTTCATTTAATGTCTATTCTAATTTATTGAGATGCACTATTAGATACCATTACAGTTCCTATCAAACACTGTTTTTTGGTTTTTACCAGTAGGCTTTGCTTCCTCAGTGACTGTCCTTTCACCCAACATTGTTGTTCCAGCGTGGGTCATTGGAGGCGTGTTATTCTCCTCTGGATAAATTGTATCAATCCCAGATCCATCAGTTTGGTTTGGCTCCACTGTTGTGAAAGTGGAAAATAGAGTGATTCGGCCTTCGCCCAGATCCGCTTGAGAAGAAACAGGGGGAATAGTATTTATCATCTCCGATGTTGCTTCTGTCTGACTGTCAAAGTAGGAAGTTGGAGTTGTTTCTGGATCTGTTGTTCCTGAGGTCAGAGGCTGTAGTTCCGTCGTAGCTGTTTGGAAGTTAATCACTTTTGGTTTAAATAATAACATACTACATTTCATCTATTATTTTAAAAATGGGTAACATCCAAGCTTACCAATTACATACAGTATTTCCAACCATTTAATGGAAATTAGAGGCTATTATTTGATGGTTTATAATCAGAAAAAAACATGCTAAAGTTCTGTTTACATGGAAATTGTGTCTGAAGTATAGAATGAGTGTAATTCTGTTTTACTTGCTTTGCATTTTACATGCAATTCAACATATGCATACAAACTGTCAGAGATAAGAGTTTCATTTTTGGGGGCCACTGTCTTAGACTTAGACAAACTTTATTGTCATTTCGTATACAAAAACAAAACGAAAATTCGATACCTACAGCTTTCAACAGTGAAGTAGCAGCTTACAAGGGTGAAATTAACATTTACCATTTATAAAGTGCAGTACTGATCAAGAATGTAGACCGTATAGGAAAAATGAATCCAGTTTTAAGTCATGGTGCAGACGGTATCGATAAGGAAAGGTTCAGTGCAGTGCAAAAATAAATAAAAATGGTGCACAATGCAGTAGAACAATGAGTTGTGCTCAATTTAAAGGGATTATGAAAAATATCAGCAATGTCTGTAGTGCAAATACGCTCGTATGATGTTTTCAAGTGTGATGTAGAGTCTTGGTTAGAATTTCAAAGGTTCAACAGTCTGATCGCAGCGAGAAAAAAGCTGTTGCAGAACCTGCTGGCCCTGCAGTAAATGCTGGTAAGCCTCTTCCAAGAGGGCAGCACTATCCCACTCGATGTTCAACAAAATGACACATTCAGTTCTTCAGTAATATGTAGTTTATCAATTTATTTGTTTAACCATTTGAGTGAATCCCTCTTGCAAACACAGTTTAGCTATTTTGGTACGGATTTGACAGGAGCAACTCTCCTCTTCTATGTCTCTATTCCAAAACTGATCTAAACCATTAAAGTAAAAAAAAAAAAAAAAACATTGCTGAAATTTTGGATTTTGAATTATTTTTCCTCATTAAAGTCATTGATATGTAAGGACGTATTGTACTGACCTGGTTGATCTGATTTTTTGAAAGCTTGACTGCAGTTCTTTTTAGGACCAGCTGGCAGTAAAGAAACATAAGACAACCATTTTTAAATGAAAAAAAGCAAAGCATTTTTTTTTTATTTTCATCTTTCTTGATTATTAATTTACCGTTTTCATCATAGCAGTAGACATCAAAAGTTTCATTAGTTGAAGGTGCTTGAAAAATGAGCCCAGTCATGTTCTTTGCGCAGTTTTCATGCTCGATTTGTCTGAGAATGACAATGCTCCCATCGCTGATCCAACCATACCTAAAATAAAAAAAAAAAAAAAAAAATTAAAAAGTAAACGTTTAATGACTCTAATTTTGATCCACCATGATTTACCATCATATAAAGCATACTTAGTATCTAACAATTTTTTGTTGAAATTGTGTCTAACTTTAAATGAAATATACTACATTTTATACAGTAAAATAGATCTCTCAATATGGAAATATTTTTTTCATAGTATTCTATTCAGGGAAGTATAAAAGAATAGCCTCCCATTTTACCTGCAGGTTTGCATGCTTTTATTGTATGCATGCTCGACTTGCTCTCGAGTTGCCATGATGGTCTCAAGCTGCTCGCAGACCGCTTTGGCCATGTCAAAGGTCAAACTGTGACGACTCGCTCCCTCAGCCAGAAATACACCAACAAAACTGCAGCCGCGGGAATTAACTAGAAAGAAGCAAATACACAGAATGAGGAGAAATGTTTGTATTAAGAGCAGATCTAAAATGTTGCATCACATCTTCAGTTGGTATACTCAATTCCCCACTGAAGCTTTATGTTATTTCATGCTGGACAATTGACCAATAAGGGGAACGAATGGAGAGTGGGGGTGGGAGTAAAATAATTCTGTTAAATGATTCAGTAATTTACCTAGATGTCATTTAAATTTTGTTTCTAAGTTTGTACAGTTTGTACAATACAATAATCCTTTTAAAATATTTTCAAAATAAAATCTACAACATGCATTTTCAATTTACCCCATTGGTTACTGAGTCAAGACACGCATTTTGAAAAGCAGTCATATTTTTGGCCATTTTTTGCCAAATGGCTCACGGTTTGGACAAAAATCGGGCCAGTTTTGATTTTTATATCTTGTCACAGATTCTCAGTTTAGCTTTGGACATTGATTGGCTCATTCTAAAACATGGAAGCGGTCTGATTGAAAATTTTTTACAATAACTCTGGTTTTATGTATGGGTTCTTTATCTGAACCTTTCAAGCGTCACGTTTCTGCAGCTTCCTAAAGCAATTTCCCCCAGGATTGTCCTGAATATCTTCAAATCAAGTCATCAAGAGCATGATACTGCCACTACCAGCAGCATGATCTCTTTTATTTGGTCTATAAAATGCATTTCTAATGAAATACAGTGATGTTTGTGGTAGTAAAATAACAAAAAGGGTAAAAGTAATTTTTTATTTCCTTTCCCAGGGTTCAAAGATATAGCTTTTAAACAGAATCAACTCCATAGTTGATTAATTGCACAATTGCCCAGGAAGTCATAAATAAATAGTCATCAAATATCAATGAAGATGCTTCAAATATATTTCAAGTAATAAAAGACAGGGATCTTCATACTACAGAGCTGGTCTTCCAACAACTATAGGAATCATATCTGATTAGGATTTGAATCATAATCTTGAATACAGCCTCCCCCTAAAAACAGATGTCATTACAACCAAAGAATTATTTGAATTTTACCAATTTTGCGTCTAACCAATCTTTTGAGTAAAACAACCAATCTTTTGAGTAAAACAACCAATCTATGTTAGTAATGTTTTTAACCAATCTATAGTGTTAACAGGGCAAAGAAATACAAATTGGTCACTCTGACCAATATACAGATTAATTAGTGTAATAACATAGAAAGTCAAAGCCGGGGCGTGAACCAACAACCTTCTGGTTGCATCTGACACCACTGTCACTAATAAATGAATACTATATTAATGTGAAAACCAAGGTTAATGCCAAGATTTGCATGTTGTACTTGTACACATCATTGCAATTGTTCTAACGTTCCAAAACTATTATACACACCAGTTATCATTTTTTATTGGTTGTTTGGTTAACAAATTAAATTGATTGATCCAAAACTAATGACTTGGTCTGTTTCTGACCAACATATTGGTTTATCCAATCAAAAGATTGAAATATTATCAAACAATGTTATTGCCATATTGGTGTGTTGAAGTCTGGGGTAACACATATAAAGGTTCTTTACAAAAAAATATTTACTACCCAAAAAATGTATTAAGAGTCATTTATCACATACAAATCCACATCTTTTTAATCAAAACTCATGTAATGCATGGACTCAGTATGCTTTTAAAATGCTCTGGTGTTTAAAGCCAAAACCAGTATCCTTCCAAAGAATACAATTTCTTTAAGAATAGAGAGAGGATCTGAGAGAAAAATATGATTTAATGCAACCACGAGCAGATTTTAGCCAGATGATTTGAACGTTTTGGAATATGAATAAGGTTTTTAATGTATTTGATACTCTTCAGTGGTTTATAAAGTAAGAAGTATTTTAAAGTTTTTCCTTTGCTTGTTTTTAGGTGTCAGGAAGCCACTGTAATGTCTTCAAAACTGAGGTGATTTGCTCTCTTTGTTTAGATGGAAGATCAACAACTAAACAAGCCAAAACATTTTCTGTGGTGCAAAACATAATTTTAACCATGCCTGTTAAAAGTTCTCCTGGATAAAATAAACTAAACTAGTGGACAAAATAAGGTTTATTTATTTAAAGGTTATCATTTTGAGGAATGTCTACATCAAAATGCAATAGCTAATCTTATATATATATATATTTTTTGTTTTCTATTTACCCAACTGTAAAATACATTGATATGTTGTAATTGGGGCTGCTCAGTGGCGCAGTGGGTAGCACTGCTGCCTTGCAGCAAGAAGGTTCTGGGTTCCAGGCCCGGCCCTTTCTGCATGGAGTTTGCATGTTCTCCCTGAGCATCCGTGGGTTCTCTCTGGGTACTCTGGCTTCTACCCACAGTCCAAAGAAAAACATGACAGTTAGGTTTTTTGGCTTCTCTAGATTCTCCTTAGGTGTGAGTGTGTGCGTGAATGGTTGTATGTCCTGTTTGTCTCTTCGTTGCCCTGAGATGGACTGGTGACCTGTCCAGGGTGTACCCCACCTCTTGCCCATATACAGCTGGAGATAGGCACCAACACCCCTCGCGACCCCAGTTGGGACAAGCGTGTCAGATAATGGATGGATGTTGTAATTGCAACTTTCGGACCAAGTTTATCTATTTTTGTTTTTTTTCTCTCTTCTTCATAGAATCTCAATCCTTTATCAGTTCTTCCTGCCACCATCTGCATCAAAACAACAGTTCTAAGTCAATTTGCTGATGGTTAAGTTGGTCTAAGATTGTTCAGGGTATGGAAATAAAAGCAAAAATGCAAAATTGGCCTCATCGGATATTATGCCAACAGGTGGTGTACACAGAGAAACTGTTGACTTGGTGAAACACCTGGCTGGCAGGTGAACTCTGACACTAGGACTTGGGGACAGACAGCAGGTGTTACAGTAGGAGCTCAGGAATTAACACACAGTGCTGAGGCTGAATGTTTACTCTCAGGTTGATTTCAGGGGAGACTGGTGGTGCAAGGTACAGATAGATTACCTGCATAGAAACAAACCTTGACTGGCTTTAGTATTCTTTTGCAGTTTACTTTAGAAATTAACTGAAATACAATTGTCTTAACATTTTATCAGCATGCACTCTAAGTGAACACTTTTCTCCAACAAATAAAGGTAAATGCTGCTAATCAAACGAAGAATGGCTAAAACATTTAAGATACTTTCAGAGAACTGAGAGGTAAAAAAAAATAGCATATTTGTTGACCGCAGATTGTTACCAGGGTGAAATATTTCTTAGTGAAGTTGCAAAATTTAACAGGAAGATCACATTTATTTTAAAATCTGATACATGTTGTTTTGTGACATCTCACAAGTGTGCAGAAAAGAAAATCACACATTTGACCTAGCAGCCACACCTGCAACACATATGCTGCCTAAATTATTTATTTATTTATTTTTATTTTTTTTTTACAATACGACATTTAAATACATTTTTTGGGATTTTTAAACCAAAAGAGTCAACAATCTCTCATTCTGTTTAACTTGTATTCAAATTCAACAATTTGTGATATACTTCTGCCAGCCTCTTTATTCGGGACAACTGGACAATTGCTTAACACAAATCGAGCGAACCAGATAATAACACGTGCTGTTTAGTTTCCTTTTTATCCTGTTTTATTCAATTGTTTATTTTGTCTTTACAGTATTTGCTTTTTAATGCATCCAATTTTTATCTTTCCGTTAAGCAATCACGAGGAACATGCAGGAGATAAATCTGCAACAACTGTGTGCTTTTACATCATTGTGGACAGAAACATTTCCTCCACACCTTGGTGAATTCATTCCTACAAGAATTAAGCTCTTTAGCATTAAAACCTTTATTCAGCTTTAATCTTAGAGATGTAACTTAAAAAGAGGCCATGACGTATAACAGAAGTATAACATTATATGCAATAAATAATTAATTTAATGGTTATTTTTCTCACATTCTGTAGATAAGCACAATTTTATGTCTTCATAAAATAATTTTCTTCACTTTTTCTTTTCTTTATTAGGTTTAACATTTGTGAGATACAATAGGGGCCCAGCCCCTTTTCCAACATCCTGTTATGAGCAAACAAGGCACTAACAGCAGCAGGAAGTTCAAATTTTGTCTGTTAGAGGCCGTTGTGCAACAGCAGCAGGTTCCTGTGCACATGCTGTACGACAATTTACCTCTTTACTTCTCACTTTCTCACAGGAAAACCTGATACAGCCTCAGCATATGCTAAAAGAGAAGCGCGCTTCCTTCACGGTGTAGAGGGATAAAATTAACAACAACTTTGGCTTTGCAATCTGGCCTGAAAGATCAAAGGAAGAAAACCAAACCATCAGTGGGCTGAAAAAGAGTTCTGACAGCGATCTAAGGGGGTGTTCATTAATATGCAGAGAGACAGTTGTGGGTTTCTTTATAAAGTCCAGAAGCCTGTAATGCCACGGCATTGAGTCTCACTAAAGCTCCTTTGTCACCTAATGGAGTTGGAACCAAGGAGACTGCAACTTCGAGCTGCAGAGCTCAAAAGAAACAGAGCTGTAAAGCTCTGTGTTGCCAAAACCTCCAGATGCAATGAGAGTAATTGTCAACCAAAGCCTTCACTCCACCTTTGCTGTCTTTTTTACCTCTGTTTTCTCATTTTGTTTTGTTTTCATTCACCGCTCTCTGTTTGTCGTTTCTATGCCAGCAATAAAACACAATATACCCCCCGCACACACGTCTTACAAAAAAATGTGAAGCTTGCAGATATTCAGGGCTGATTATTCCTTCATGACCTTGTAGAGTCTTGCAGAAGGAGAAAAGGTAGCAGAATGTTGTTTTCAACATTGACAAATACAAATCGGTATCTTTTCTGTCTTCTTAGCAAAACACTGTGTGGTGAATGGTTTCACTTAATCGCTCAGAAAATAACATCAGGTTTTATAAAGTCATGATTAGGTAAAAAAAAACCTTCTGTGTCTGTTGCATTCATACTGTTACATCAGTTTTGTCATAGACCATAAAGGAGTTAGGAAGCAAGAGCTTGTTGCCCCGATTCCAACAAAACTACGCCGACCAGCATCATCTCCCCAGGGTGAACTCCATTTCATCAGCAGACATATCTCTCACAGTGTAAACAGTCGGTAACTGAAACTGGAGCTGGGGTAATACATTTTTTTTGCACTCTTGAGCATATATTTTTTGCACAAAATACCGGAGGGTGAAATAAGAAGTAAAATAGTTCTGCATAGAACTAAACTAGCGTTCTATGCAGAGCGTGTGACAATCTCACATCTATAGTTCACACCTCATCCCACTTCAGTTGTGATAGGAGACTTTTTTTTTTAAATATCAAGGTGGAAGGTCTGCCATACATTTAATTGCCCCAAAATGTTCACTTCTTCTAACATGGATGCCTTATTTGTACTAAGTAGGGCTGCAACTAATGATTATTTTGCAAATCGATTTATCTTTAATTTTATTTTTGATTAATCAATTAATAATTGGATAGCAAGTTCCTTAACGAAGACTTTTTACGAAATTAAAGGTGAAACTAAAACTTTCTACTTGAATTCTGGATAGAGCATATTAAGAGATGAAAACTTTTTTTTAATCTTAATTACAAAATGTTTATATATATATATAAAAATGTACAATATTTATATAATTACTGCTCTGAGTGGGTTGCTCTGTCAGCTCAAAGGCATGTTTTACAGTCTCTATACTCCATTTACCAATTAGTCAATTACAAAATTAGATAATGATTATTTCAATAATCGAATAATCATGATTAATCCAAATAATTGTTTCAGCCCTTTTACTAAGCTCTCCTAGCAACCGTTAAATGGGAAAATGTAAAAATAAGGCAAATCAAAGGAACTCTACAAACGATTAAGTATTCTCTCAATGTGCTTTCAATGGAGGTGCCAAAACAACGTTTTTGATATGATTATATTGATAAATATAGCCCCACTGTGCTTCTTATAACTCTCAACCAAATAGTTTTAATAGTTTGCTTTAAAACATAATTTCTATAGGTAAATCTTTGCTACTTTCAAAAATAAATTTTCTCATAATTTGATTATAGGTAATAAGTAATTGATTATTTAGTTTAATCATTATAAAAAAAAAACAAGTCAATTATTCAATCTGCTTTAATCTTTCTTGAGTCTTAAAAAATACGTTAAACTAACCAGAGGAAGTCCCCTAATTTTAGTTAGATTACTGATTATCATTTAATAATTTACACAATTTATTTTTCTAGATACTTTTTAGCTAGAAAAAAAACAGATTTTTTTTTTTTTTTACTTTTTTACACACCAACATGACATTAATTGCAATCCATTTAAAAAGTCACGAGAGCCTGAGGTAAAGCTACAAAAGTAGAAAATGACTGTTATCAAAGACCTAATGTTTAGCAATGCTTTTATTTCACATTCTTGTTGGCTTTTCATACAATATCCAAAAGTGGTCAGATTTCCGTTATTTTTGCATAACCTGGATGTTAAAACCTGCTAATTAAGTTTCTTTAAGGTTTTTCTCAATTTCTCTCAAGCAAAATTTTTTGTTTCTGTCTACTATGTTGAGATGATGTGGATTATGAATTGGTGCTGTTTAAATGTAAGTAATTTATTATGTGAGCATGTTGAAAGTAACCTAAGACGTTAAAAAGCTGGTAAGGCATTAAAAATAGCTTTTAGTTTGGGAAACCATTTTCTTTAGGAGAGCTAAAGTTAGTACAGTAAGAGACCTTAGTTACACAGCAAATGCCAAAGTTACTGGTAGCTCATTCCAACGTTGTGAAGCAAGAAATGTAAACAGTCTGGTGTGACTGCCTTTTGCCTTTAGACAGCAGGGCCATTCCTGAAGAGGAACTCAGCAATTGAGAAAGAGCTTATATAGCCAGGTGTAAAGCAAGTTTTGGTTACTTCAACATGATCTCGTTTACCAGAAAAGGTCAATAGTTTTGAAGAGACAAGGGTCAAGTATTTTGTTGATTACACAGAACTGAAATTTGGAAGATGCTTTCAATAACCATAACAAGATTTGGCCTTCATTATGAGTTACATAAGATGATGCAGTGTTCAAAGTTGTATGACTAAAAGAAAGGTGGGAAAAGGACAACTGGTCATTATTCATGAGACCTCGGTTACATGCAATTTTTGTTGTGGAGATGTTCAGGTAGGCAAATTGAAACCAATTGATCCTGTTCAAATATAACTTTAATCTGAAAAGAAAACCTAATATTTAAGGAAGTCTTACAGTACACAATACTACAATGAGTCATTAAAGATTATGCTGGCTGTAAGCGAGAAGGGACTCCTATAGCATTCTGTGCTACAGGAACAGATGTGAATAAGCTTTAAAAATGAGAGATACTAAATTTTGACATGTGATTAGTGGATCAATCCTGGCGATATTTCTCTAAGCATTTATAAATCCATGTACGCAGCTAAAACTCGAGGATAAATGGGTATAACATTTGTCACAAAGAGGTGTTAATCACACACATAAGTCACAAGAAAAGCTACGTGAAAAGATAACTGGGCCAGGGTCACAGCATTTGGCCTTGGTGTTGGGTGTTTGTTCTTTTCATGATATCTTGTCGGAAAGTCAGGAATAAAAGGTACTGACATTAAAAGTCGTTTTGTGATATTCAAAAAAGTAAGCTTGGTTGATCACATGGTAGAACGATACAAAGCATTAAAAACTCTATGAGCAGGGTTTCAAAATTAGGATGTAATAATTATTAGTTAACAGAAGGCAAATTGTAAGATAAAAATGCTGTGCATTCCACAGAGAAGGTGTCCAAGAACCTAGCCTTGCGGAACCATGTAGAAAGGTTATAGAACCTTAATGTTTATTCTTGCATTATTAAAAAAAAAAAACAACAAAAAAACATCAAAACATCAAGGAATTCTGGTTAGATAAAAAAAAAATGAGCCACTGATAAAAAGCTTGGCAGACAGAAGCTAAGCACCTGAGTCTATAGAAACAAGGTTCCCCAATACAGGGTTTCCAGTAGAGGGTACATTGGTGGAAGAGGCAAACACGTGCCTTTAAGTATTCAAAGACCATGTCAACAAAAGCACTCTTTGTGAGTGCCTGGTCTAAGGAGATCCTGACCACCCCTCACATTGAAACATGATACATTAGCAGTAAGGAAACAAATATGATCATGTGTGCAAGACACATAACTTTAAGGCTGACCAGTTAACATTTTAGTATAGTAAACATATTGAAAGATTTAGATAAGCTTTTTATTGTTTAATGGATTACCTGGTTTTCCTGTACAATATGCTTATATGATGTGTGTTAAGTGCACATACATGACAAAAACAAGTTAAGAAGTTTAAATGTTTCAATAGCCCCTCCCCCATATTTCTTTTATTTCTAATCAGTCATTCAGCTTTATGCATATTATAAATACTTCATAAATGACTTAATTTTAAAGTTTCACTGTTT